TCCCACATATCTTTTCTTTTTCCTGATAGGTTGTAGTCTTAGTTGTTTACCAGCATCACATTTCCTCTTTCTAATTGCACCTCCTGTGTCGTGCCTCGTTCTGAGAGATGGCTCAGACAGTTGTTGACTTGTCTGAGCTAATCAAACACACACACACCCACACAGACACACACACCAACACACACACACTCAGACAGAGAGAATTCCCACTTCTTCTAGCCAACTTTTCCATGAGCTATGATTCACGACACATTCAAAGGAAAGAAACACTAGCAACAGACCTCCTCATTGAGGAGGGCACACATACACTCAGTCCATTCCCCGGGCACCTGTCAGTAAACACACACAGAGTGCCGACTTTTCCATTACTGCTAAGTGGGAGGAGAGTGGTGGGTAACGCAGGGATACTAATGGACTTCCCACCTCTTCCCTAAAGCTCCCAGTCTCCTGTTTTGTGATAAGGCAGGGAAACCCAAACAAGGTCAACTGACCATTTCCACAGATTCAGCATCCTGGAGTCAAGTTTTAAGAATGTAAATGACAATTTCAGAAATGCAATGTCCTCAGTGTTTCAGAGTCTAAAAAAAAATTGATTTAAAGGAGAGGTGTCATGGCCATTTCCACTGATCATAATTCCATTGTTGAGGTATACTAAAATAGATTTATACTGTGCATTTTTCCAAACTCACATTGGTTTTTCATACAGCATCTCTGTAAACTACTTCATTCTCTGCCTTTAACGGCTCGTTGGAGCTCCAAAAGCTCCAGCCCCCACCCTCCCTGTGAGCACAGTGTGCTCTGATTGGTCGGGACGTTGTGAATCGCGCTGAGCTCCGTGGAGGTGTTGTTTCCTTGTTTAGGATACATAGCGAAACACAGCCAAACTCATCCTGAGCACACACAAACTCACAGCCGAAGTAAAAACAATAAGTGTGGCTTGATATGGAGTAAGAAAAAGGTTGATAAACGCTGTGAGAATGGGTCTGCAGAGAGAATTTTGCCACGATCCCAACTGTCTGTTATCAGCCTGCAGCCAGGGAGGAGAAATCAGCAGAGCTGCCTGTGTGTGAGGAAGTCCGTGGATTGGTCAATTTGGACCAATCAGCGGGGGCTTAACGTAACGGCTCCGCGGACGTAACGTAACGGCTCCACGGATTGGTCCATTTCGTTCCGGGTACGGCATGACATCATGCCGTACCCGGAAGAATCAAATGGACAATGACGTATCTCCAACGAGGCGTTTTGGGGAGGTATTTTCTGTGTTCGAGTTTTACTCGCTACAGGGTGTACTTTGAGGGTTTTGACTCTGCACACCGTTTACATGCATAAAAACCTTCATAACACACAAGGGGACGGGTAATAACCGGAAAAGCATGACACCTCTCCTTTAAATATAACTCTAGTAGAGCTGGACTGATAAATTGGCTCATATCGAGTAATGGTAAATGGACTGTAATTGTATAGCGCTTTATCAGGTCTTTAAGACCCCTCAAAGCGCTTCACATACTACGAGTCATTCACCCATTCACACCTCATTCATGCAGAGCAGTAACACGTGCTCTGGGAAGCTAACATCCATACACATTCACACACCGTTGGCCATCAGGAGGAACTCAGGGTTAAACATCTTGCCCAATACATCGACTTGACTGCACAAGCTGGGATTAAACACACAACCTTCTAGTTGAGAAACGACCACACTACCTTGCAGCAACAGTCTCCCTCCGAGTACTGCTGGAATAAGTCATAAAACCTAGAATTTGTAATAGCAGGTAGCTATTGCCTGAGATCACATGATGTGGCTTTGTTACATGTGCCAAGTGCAAGGGCTGACTTAGGTATGAAAGCTTTTATGTGCGCAGCTCCTCTTGCTTGGAACAGTCCTCAAACATATTTGAAACTGAGCAAATTGGTTCCACTGCCTGTTTTTAAAGCTCGGATAGGTGCAATGACACTTGATACTGTTGGTACTTGTCAATGTCTGGTATGTAAATGTAGCCCTGTAAATACGATGTCCTTTTGTGTATCTGTTGTTTTATGTTCATGTTGTAACCTACTTGCTGCCATGTTGGACAGGTCTCCCTTGAAAAAGAGATTGATGATCTCAATGGGACCACCTGGTTAAATAAAGGTTTGAATAAATAGAGCGAGTTGTTTTCCATCAATTTTAAGTTTCAAGAAGTTTCTATTAAACAACATGAGTAGGTTGGCCAGTGATGGTCTCGATTCAGCATTACAGACTTTTTATTGAGTTATGGTGCTGATGTGGTCCTGGATCACGTTGCAGTTTGCCTGTGCTGTATGACCTCAGCTGTTCCCAGGACGCCGTGCAGTGCTGCTTTTTCCATTGGCTGCAGAAACTTCCTATTCAGGCTTCAGAAGTGAAAAAGTGTTCACAGAAATGCTTCATGGAAAAATTTGTTTTTTCATTTCTTTGTGTGAGGATTTGCGAACACGTGTCAGTCTGGATACTCTTTTATGTGTTTATTTTTATTTTTACACAGAGTATGAGGGCATGTTTACTTGACTAATACAAGTATGTATAAGGTCAGCTTTTTATTTGTGCAATTGTATCATTATTAAATTCTGGTAAAATCTCTTGAACTTGCTTATGTGTCCTATTCAGCTTAGTTTGTCATACTACTAAGTTCTGACAGAATCTGTGGAAAATTATTGTGGTAGGGTTATGTGCTAATGCATTTTAAAATATCTCTCATTAATGTTATTATTGTCACTCACTCGACTCAGCAGGTGCAGTTTTTATTATAGTTTTACTGTATCAAACGCATGTTGGAGTATTGTTGTAGAGATGTCAGCTGTTTATCCGGCAAAACTTCACCACCCACAAGGGACAACATGAGCAGGTGGTTGCCATGGTGACAGTGCGCTGTGTTTATCTGTTGCCGTGAGAGAGACGAGGGTGTTGTGTGTTGGGGCGGGGGGGGGGGCAGATTGAATCCAGAGAGAGGGAAAGGCCAGCCCAAAATAAACCCATACAGAGTGGGTCGCAGAGGACACACCCTACACGACTCCAGATAAGGACGCAACGTCCATTTAATGATAGGATCATATGGCAATAACTGCCCAGGGAGATGTGGCGATCACGTGATCTGACAGGTGTTTATCTGTCAGAAGGTTAATACCGGCATTCAAATCTAACTTTTAGTTAAGCTACTAATAAATTACTAATAATCTAACGCTATAAAACACCTTCTTATGTAGTTTTTTTTTTTTTGTATTGACAGTGACAAACTAAGACATTTCTCAATATATGTCTTCACACTCCATTATATCTGGCTCTTTCATGCCACGTCCTCATGTGTTGCCCTGTCAGTCTGCAGTGCTGTACATGTGTTTCAGGTGTTTCTGCGGGAGATTCAGTTTGCATGTGGCAGCAGGCCGAAAACCACAAAGAATAGACAATCTTTTTTTCTCTCAAATTTAGCACGACTAAATTAGGCCAAATTTGCCTCCTGCTTGAGGCTGAAAATCAGATTTGAATACGTCTACTTTAACATAAAACATAGAGTACATAAAGAAGTCATTAATCGAAGCATGCTCTCTTTTTGAAAACCAAAAAAAGACTTCATCTTAAAATGCCCTGTGAAATATCATAATTAAAAAAAATGTATTTCAGTATCAGCAGAAGCAAATATACAATTACGCAAAACCTACTTTTGGGCCTTTTTCAAACCCTCACTGGTCTAACCCTTGTTCATTTTATGGCACAAGCATCTGCAGTCAGAAGACCTGGTGACTTACTTTATACTTTTATACATTACAGTGTAACACCATTTACTGTATCTACAAAGGCAGTGAATATCGTGGTGGGTCCTCTAATCCCTCTCGGGGCCCCAGACACGCTGTTACGGGGTTTACATTGTCAGCATTGTACTGCTTCTCCCTGTGTGGATATCTGATACCACACACTGACAGTTTCCTGCCACAAAGCATGTAAATATGGTTTCTGCACTCCTGATTGATTAACAGCTGTCCCCAGCAGTAACTCTGTATGCTGTGTGTTGTGAGTAAAAGACTAGAAAGGAAGTATAAGTGTACACCGACCATTAGGTTAAATATTGTAGTGCAACTGAGCTGTATTGCTGTATGGAGGACCTATAGGTGTAGGCCCCTATTTCTGGGTTCACAGAGATATATTTTGAACAAGTGTGAACCTGCTGCACTGCTTTGCTGTACATTATATTATATGGCTAAATTGAAACTGTACTTAGCACCTTGGCTTTCCAGTGAGGCAAACGCACAATTATAAATGATAGTGATAGTATGATAAATGTAGATTAAGAATTGTTCATAATTCAAAGATAATTCTTTATTTGTATATATGTATATAAAACCAGATCCCCTGTTTACTGTTAGATTTGATTGGGTATTAGCAATGGAAGTGTGTGAGTATTTGTTTTTAAAGATACATTATGTTCTGAATGTAATGGCAGGATATAAACCTGTGGTTAGATGGAACATCCTCTTGGTTTTAGTTTCAATATGACTGTGAAGTTGCAGATTCTCTTAAGCCCCATAGATTTATAATTATTCTAATCGTGTGGTGAACATGTGACCGCATCAGACTATGTTCTTTTATAAAGACTTAAAGTGTAATATATCTGGCTGCAGCTAAACTGGCACTTGAATGTTGGCATATGGCTGGCACCACTAGATGGCAGTCTACACTAGCTACAAGCAGTGAAATGTGTGAATGACACATGGATCTGTCAAGCATCATGTACCTGTATTTTCAAATTCATTTTTAGCCCAAAGGCAATTTAATCCACTTTCTTAGACTGATCACATGACATATTAAATGAAATGCCATAATTTACATGATCATATAATACAATTAGCGTAGCCGGATTCCTGATAACATTCTAGTAAATGTCAAATAGAAAATGCGACACAATTCAAACATTGTGATTTCTTAATACAATGCTTCTGCGGCTTGAACGTTGGAATTTTTTCTAATCTTTTATTTTTTGCTCCCTTAGGACAAAGTGAAGCCTCCTAAAACAACCAAATCCAAGACCGCAGAGACCTTGGTTGAAGGCATAGCCGTGGAGGGCCTTGAGCAGATACCTGAGGGACAAGAAGAAGTTCAAGACCATCTCAACTCCGATGAAGAGGTGGAGATTGAGGAGATTATCGAGGAGTCTCGCACCAAGCGCATCCAACGCACCACCAAGCAGCAAGTGGACAACATAAAGAAAGCCTTCTCCAAAGAGAAAATGGAGAAGACCAAAATAAAGACAAAGGAGAACTTGGAGAAGACCAGGCAGAGAACCCGCGAGAACCTGGAGAAAACAAGACAGAGAACCCGTGACAAAATGGAGAAAACCAAGCACAGCCTGGGGCAGAAGATGGGCCAGCTCGGGACCCGCATGACCCCCAACATGGAGCGCAGGGCAAAGATGAAGAGCTCCAAAGAGAAGGCCAAGAAGTCCCTCAATCCTGAACACAAGGTCTACGCCCGCTCCAAGACCACCGTGTACCGCGTGCCGCCCTTCACCTTCCATGTGAAGAAGTTCCGAGAAGGAATGGAGGAGGTGGTGCCAAACACAGAGATGGATGAGGTGGCCGACGATGAAGGAGAGCCAGGGGGAGAGGAGAACGGGCTGGGGGTGCACGTGGAGGTGGAGGATGGGCAGCTGGTGAGGGTAGACAGCCCAGAGATGGAGGCTCTGTTGGAGGTGACTGAGGACTTCCAGCTGGTCAGGGTGGAGCCGGACCTTCCAAAGGCCCAAAGCGAGTAGAGCATCCCAGCTCTGTGTCCTATGAAGGAGGGAATGAAAGGATGACGAAGGGAACATTAGACACAATATTAGTCGTGGGGACTTTATAGACGTGATCACAATCTATGATATCTTTTTTGATTTCTGTTCTCTTTTTATTTTACCCAACAGGGATGACTTTCATATTTGCTCTTCTTTAGAGAAAAACAAAAAAGGCTAGCTTTTAAAACATGGTGCAGGCTGAATGGTTGTTTATGTTAAAGCTAATTGCTGTTTGTTGTGGGTTTGATAATTTGTGTGGATATAAGAATAAAAAAGATATAAATAGTCTTTGCTATTGACGATGTAATGTATAACCTTATATTTGCCATGTATGATATGCACATTTGTGGGTAACAGGAAGTTGTTGGCAGGATTTATGCTTAATCGATGGATTTAGAGATGTAATGTGCAAGAGTGAAACAAACAGGAAAACATGTAAAGGTGTATAAAGAACTGAGGCAGGACTAGAGAACATATTTTCCTTGTTTACAAAAACCATCCTTATTTGCAAAAATAATGAAGACATAAAGGTTATTAACTACTAATCACAAAAACATTCTGCCAGATGTTTTAGTAAAATATAAATTACAATTTATGTAAATTACTGAAAATATAGACGTAATTTCAAATAAATTGTATTTAAAACATTAGAACAATATCAAATATTTAAAGAGTAGCATATAGCACCAGAATAAACAGCTTAAGTACATGTTGTGTACAAACATCTTAGGACAAGAATGTTTTACCATTTTGGACTTTTTTTGTGTTTTGATTTTCATTTCTTTAAAGATTGTGACAAAGGATCACAAGGCCTTAAAATAATCGGTAGTCCACCACTGAGTTTTAAGTTGTACTATATTATGTAGCAAAATACCTTTTTTTGTGTCACTAATTCAGATAAATATTATAATGAAATACTCAAACTGATGTCAATAAGGTGTAGATTGTAGCCTTTTTTATCTTTACAATGCATGCATGTACCAACTTTCCACATAGCTCTGCAAACTGGATTAGAACAACTGTGTCGCCATGGTCACAGCTCATCATAGTACATTTGCAGATCCCTAACACATTTATCAAGGTAATTGCAGGCAGAAAAGAATTATAGCATGAAAAGCAGGATGACAGTTTAATGACTCGTGGAGATGCAAATGTCATCCTAAATGCAGTCGAAGGGAGAAAGCCATTCTGAATGGCAAGGTATTTCAATAAATGTCAGAGAAGATCTTGTCAACAAATTATTTTGCAGAGACCAGGTGCAATATTGTGTATCAGTGATGTCTACACTGATGTAAAAGCCTGCATCTTTGTACAACAAGTTAGAAAATATGTTTTTTAAACAAGTAGAGGAAGCTAAAATAATTGAATTGTAAATATTCAAAGTCTGAAGAAAACTGGCAAAGCCAGTGTTCCATCATTGCACTTTTGACCATGTACGGCAAGCACACAGTGCTCCGGACAAAGAGAAGGTGAATGCATGGCTTCCATTTTCATCCCTAGAGGCTCTGTGATCTTGATGTGGTGCAGACATGCAGAAGCCCACTGTGTAGCGTGGAGAACCATTAAAATAATCAATGGGCTGGGGAATTCAATTAAGGAGAGTGCTCTCTCTGAGCACTGACCAGGGTAGAGAACAGTGAGAAGAACAGAGGAAAGTGTGTGTTTGTGTGATTGTGAAGAGTGTGTCGATACAATATACCCAATACCCTTGGCATCAAGTTCACATTTCAAAGAAGCAAAGAAATCAATTACAGGCCTCTGACATCACATATCACATTATAATTATTAAAGTTTTATATATAATTACATGTCTGTAGTGATTATTTACACAAACATTGACATTGTTTTGCACAGCAAACATTAAACACTTGTAAGATATTTGTCCTTTTTCTTCCTTTTTTTGTTAAGGTGTGTAATTTGCCACCATGTATACACCCTGTTTTGACCTAGGCCTACTGGTTATCAAATAACTGAACCATCCTGCTATGAGCGTGAGGTAGGTCATGCACAGCTTATACAAGGCAAGGCAAGTTTATTTATATAGCACCTTTCAACACAAGGCAATTCAAGGTGCTTTACAAAAATGAAAGACATTCAGACAAAGGCATTTAAAAACAGTCATTAACAAGAAAAGATAATAAAAGAAACATTAAGAGAAAAAATACATTAATAAAAAGTACATGAACCTTGTAAGTGCATTACAAGGGAAGTGTACATGAATAAAAAGTTACAGTGCAGTTTAAGATATGAATAGTTCACACAGAAGTTCCATTTTACTGATGCCTTTCTTTAAGGTTTCTCCGAACATGAGCTGTGTACGCTTGTATGGCACATACATAGGAGCATATATGGAGCAGCATACACAGAGTAAATCAGCCAGGACAAAGTCCCCAGACACTGATTGGGGTTACTAGCCCCAAATGTTCATTAACCAAAAACGAAACACAACCGCTCAGTTTCAATTAAAAGCAGCGGCAAAAAGAAAAATACAGACATATTGTTATTTTAAAACTAAACAATGTCACACACTACTGTCATGCTGTTTCTAATTTATACTCAAATAAAGAAGCTTGCCATTTGTTTTGAGTTTTGAGGTCCCATTTTGCCACTTCAATTTTAATAAAAGCTTACTAAATAATATATACTTCCTGTTATCTTTTCCCCCCAAATGTTATTAACTTTAATATACAGTATATGTGTGTTTTGATCTAGTAGTATTCAATTATGATTACAAAAGGTCAATAGTGAATGAAGAGCTCGACTGTTATTAACTCTAGATGACGTCGACACTGCCAGTAACTCAGATGACTTCCAGCCTAGCTGTTCTGTCGAATTGCTTGCCCTCCCTCCGCAGCAAATAAGCAAACTGGCTTCCTCTGCCTTCCATCCGTAGGGAGGGTTTGCAGGCGGGAACAGCGCAGTTGCGACAGCAGTAAACACGACGTTCTCAACATAGGCACGCCTCTCCTACTTGTAAGCTGCATTCTTATTGGCTAGTATAGAATAACGGACTCGTATTGGCTGTTAGAGCTGTCATTCTTGAAATACTGCATGGGTTTGGTGAAAAGGGCTGTATCGTCGAAGAATTTCCCATGTTGGCAAGAAAACCTACACGGTTAACGACCTTTTTCTGTGTGTCCTCTGGCTTTTTTGCGTCCAATTTTATACAAAGCTCACCACTGACTTTTATTGTCAGTGTTTTTCAGTAGAAAGGGTAACCGTTTGATATACGGAGAAACTTTCCGAAGGAGTAACAACAAGCTAGGTAAGCGACTATAAAGGCGACTTCTGCTTTTGGCATGCAATGGTACATGTTTCTTAAGGATTTTCTTCATTGTTATGTTACTGCATACCACACTAATGCATTGCTAGCCCTGTTAGCCATAGCGCTACTGCTCTACTAGTTGTAACATTGTGACGGTTATAAGTTATTCATGATGAGGAAGCCATTCCGTGTCCACCATGTTACACAAGTTATTAAAGTGTTACTGCGTCTTATCTGCAGCTACTCCCCGTTCTGATCGCCCCATGGGCCTGATTATATTTCAACTTAGACTAGAAGTGTTGTAATGTGATTGTATTCGTCTTGTAAAATGTTCTCGTTTTTTATGTGATTTGAATCGCCTTTAAAAAAAAAGAGACTATTATACACACGGCAGTTGTTGGTAAACAGGACTGAAATTAGCTCAAACTGGATGCATATTTAGACAAAGTCAAATTCAGGTCATTGTTGTGTTTGCCTTTAATTGACACGCCCATCGCCAAACCATCTGCAGGACAACATGAATGACACTTAGTTTGCACTATGATTCAACGGTTTCATGAACAAAAAGGAGATTTTAGGGACGATCAGCCCTTCTCAGAATCTTAGTTGTGTACTTACTATATGTCACTCTTAGACATTTCTATACATCATTTTCGTTTCAGTCATTACAGATGTGAGTCACAATGTATCAAGTGTGCTATTACACTATTGACTGTATTCAATGTTTTTTAGAGACTACGGGTGACTTCGTGAAATGCACTATGACTTTACTTTATGACGTTCATAACAGTTCTATTGTCTTCACCTGTTTTAATAGAAGCCAATCAATGGAAACCTGGCATGCTTCCTGATTTCTTAGTTTGCTCAAGGAAGCACTTACTGGAATATCAGTGACATGAGTAAAGGAATTATATTGTCCTTTTGTACCCTGTGACTAGATTACCATTTTTCGACAATTGGACAAACAGCTGGCACATTTCTAGCATTTTCTTTTCCATGACTTATTAATTATCATACAGTAGTGTGCCACCTTTGGGACTGTACACACTGGGTCACTGATCATCCTGCAGAGAGTGCCCATAGACAATGTGCCATAGCAATCATCCACTTTATGTAGGTGTTGCAATCGTGGGAAATGTAATGCAATAAATGTAAAGGCATGATGAGGGAAACAGATGATACAGTAAAGTCACATCGTGCTCTTATGTACCTTAATGATCCTGAGATACTATTTGTAATTTTAACCCAAGTTCACCAACAGTGAGAGCAGGAAATACTAGCCTAATTCAGAACATGAGAAAAAAAGAAACCTATTCTCCCATGAGTTAGCTCTTGATCGATGTGATACTCTCAGGGTTCTATTCCCAGACATCCACACCATGCAGATGCACCTTTTTCACATATCAGGGAAAGAGGAACTTGTGTCACGTTTGTTAGATAATTTTGGTTATGTCCCTTGATGCAACAAAAAAAAAACCTCGCCATATGATGTCAGTGAGAGCCATTTCTGGAACTGACGTGATTCAGGTGAAACTAAACATATACTTTTAGGTTTAGGTTTAAGGTTACCCTAAACGGAAAAATGCACAAGAAAGCCGTACACTGCGATGCCACTAAAACGTATTAAAGCCCCTTACAATATATAATACAATTTTTTTTATAAAGACCATACTGAGCCTTACACATCACTAATATTAGTTAGTTACCCTAGTGCTTATTATGCGAACATTTGCCAGAAGGTCTGCTCTTGTGTAAACAAATATAATGACAATAATATGCTTATAATGTTCTGGTTTTGTTGACCCTATGGGAGATGAGTATTTTAGTGTATAGTATTCATTTAGCTAGTTAGTGCTTGTATTACATTGGATTTTTTATATTAAGAGGAGTTTATAATTCGCTTTCCCATTATGTATGTACATTTGGATGGGAAAAGCATTACGTGTGCAGACTAATTCATGTAGGGCTTCATAAAGTACATGTATGCACTGATGTGGGAACATAGGCACATGTTGATTGCA